TATATATATATATATATATATATATATATATATATATATATATATATTTTTTTTTTTTTTAGGTCTACCAGGCAGCTATTATAGCTCTGGAGAGAGTTGCTAGTCTTGCCTTGACAGTGGATGTCTACTTGGCAACTTCATCTATTGAAGCTTTTAATAACTTCAGAGGTTCAGTGTTTGTGGAACAAAGTTTACCAGTGAGACCTGGAAGGATCATCTGTGGCAATTTAATTAATTACATATTAGTCATCCATATATATTATTGAAAGCACATGGATGCTATGGAATGGACAAGGGTACCTAAAGCTGTTTAATTAAAATTCCCTGTGATGAAAATGCTAAATATTGTAAGAAAGAAAAAAAAATCAGACTAACAGTCCAACGCCATTAAAAATTTCCCAGAGAAAAACAGCTTTGTAAGGCAGTACATTGCACATTTGCCACCATATATGCCTTTTCCACATTTCCTTATGTACCTACTAAAGCTGTGCAACCCAGGTGTGTGTGTGTGTGTGTGTGTGTGTGTGTGTGTGTGTCTCAGTGTGTCTGCGAGTTCTGGTTTAGTTTGGTTTGATATTCAATAGCCTTGTTCCTCAAACCACCATTCCTGGAGATTCTAACGTTTTGGTGTTGAAATCCATTATCTAATCATGTATTCTGATCTGGAGTTTGGCAAGTACATCCTTTGTTTTTTTTTTTTTTTTTTTTTTTTTCCTGATATCCCTATGCTTGTTAATGGCACTGCTCTTCTAATTCCACAGGTTAGGGACCTTAGCATCCTTTCCCTTGGATCTTATATTTTTCTTCTTTACCAATTCTAGTTTCATTTGACACTCAGCTGTTACGATTCTGAATCACTGCTAGAATCGTCTTCCGTTTTTCCCCCCTTTGTCTCAATGACCTGGATGCATTTCCATCTCACTATGGTTATTTTGTATGTGTGTCACCACTGAGATGCTATTTTGTTCAGCTCCTATTTGTGAAATAAACGACTGAATGAATACTTAAACAGGAGAAGGAGGAGGTGTAGATGGAAAATAATGACATGGGATCAGGTGTAGTGATGAACTCTGTGGCCCTTGCATTTGGAAGGCAAAAAGGATCAACCATAAAGTCAAGGATGGCTTGGGCTATGTAACAAGACCCTAGAAAGCTAATTATAAGAAGGTGATTAAAGAATTAGTAAACACATAATAACACATGTTGAAGATAGGAGAGGGGAGACCAAAAAGAGCTGTTCCAGGAAGAGAATTGTAATGGTCTGGTAGACTGAGGCAGGTATGGAAAGAAGATGTTTAAAGAAGGGAATAAACCCGATAGACAAGTCTCTGGGAAGGAGTATATCTAGGATGAGGAGAGAGGCACTGAGATAAGGGCATGCTGGGAGCTCCATCTTGGAAACTGGAAGCTGTTCCTGGAGACTACAAATGGAAAATTACTTAGAATAATTCTCTCAATAGCTGGAGCAAAGCAAAGTGATTATGAATTGCTCTTGAAATTTGTCACTGTCTCTTACATTGTGAAAGCTCTGTGTATTGTTCAGTGGCTCAGAGATGAGAGAGGTGTTCCAACTCAGCAAGAGTTGCCGCTCCTTGGCCAGTTGTTGAAATCTTAGCTTTTTAAAGTAAAGGAAAACTAGCGAAGACCACACCTTTTTCTTTTTCCCCCTTCCCCTCACCTCCACCCTTCTTTCTTTCTTTTGACAAGGTCTTACTCTGCAGCAGAGTGCTCTGGAGTTACCTGCCTAGATGGCCTCAAATTCATAGGAGTCCTTCTGCCTTAGCCTCCTCCTAAATTTTGGAATTACACCTATGAGCAGCCATAATTTGTTTCTTTACAAATATATACCAGAACTAGAAAAATTTCAGAGTAGAATGATCAGACTGGGAAAGAGTCTAGACATAAAAGAGGGATAGAACTCGAAAAATAAAGGTGATCTGGAAACACAATGGAGCACTAAAGCATCAAGATTAGTAGAAGTTTGGCCAGCAGGATAGATTAGTGGGTAAGGGCACTTTGCCACTGAGCTGACAACCTAGCGTCACCCCCAGGACCTCCATGGTAGAAGAGAGAACCAAATCCCTCAAGTTGTGCTTGGTCCTCCATATGTACTCAGTGGCATGTGCACTCACACAAATAAATAAATGTAATAATAGAAGTTTGTGACGTCTTAATTTGGCTGCTGTTAGCGTATTAGAACTTGAAATAAATGTGTATCATCTTAAATGTATTCCTGTTGTAAACATTAAAGTATGTATGTACATAATGGAGTACCTCAAGTTATGAGGTACTAGTTGTATTATATAAGTTAGAGCCTGGGTAGTCTG